TCTCAAAATCACAGATCTAAGAGTGGGGAAGTCATATTTCTTAAAAAAAAACTAAAAGGGCTCCAGATCCGTACCCGATTCAGGTAAGCTTTTCGGATCCATGTCATGGCAAGAAGCCGACAAATCTGCAGCTCCAGATCTGTTTCCGGTTTGCCAGACGCCGTCCCCGCCGGCGAATCCGCACCCGTCCAGCGCGCAAGGCTGCAAACAAACGCCGATTCTTTGTGTGCTTTGTCGTGGGAGAAGTGGGAGATCTGCAGCTCCAGATCTTTGTGTTCTTTGGGTGAAGTGGGAGACTCTAGGGGCACTTTAGTAAAGTCAATGCATATTTTACACTTCCTTAAAAATGGCATATAGTCAACGTGGGAAGTTAGAATTAGGACGGAGGGAGTAGTACTTTATAATTGAGATTTATTCCCGCAATGGTCCTCCGCCAAAAATTTTGTTATATGGATGTTAATTGGAAGGTATTCAGGTATTTTCTACCATCTAAATTTAGAGTAAGCTTTTAAAATGGACCTTTCTAATAAGTAGGCGGTCCATTTTAAAAGCTTACTCAGAATTTATAGATGATTGAAAATAACCCAAATACTCTCCGATTAACAGCCATAAAATGAATTTTTTGTCGGAGGACTACATCGGGAATAGATCTCAATTATGAAGTACTATGTTGATAATTATTGCTTTTTGAGAACTGAGTTGAGAAAAAGACTTTATTAGAAAGGACCATTTTAGGAATTCACTCCTCACAACAACAATCGAGTTTAATTTCACAAAAGTAGGGTCTAGGGAGGGTGTGGGTACGCAGACCTTACCCCTACTCGAAAGCATAGAGACTGTTTCCAAAGATACCACCGGCTCAAGCACCATAGATTATCACGTATGCAGTCAGACCCATATGTTTAAAACATAGATCGGCCATTTTCGGAAGACCCATGATGAGTATCGGAAGTTGCATTGACTTTCGCTACTTGTAATTGCGTAGTACGTTTTTTTGAACTACAACCCGAACAACTACAACCCGCTACACCCTTGGAGCAGAGGCACGTTAAGTCGTTAATTCAATGATCACATCACTAAACCCATTTAAACCTTTCTTCTATGTTGGTTTTACTGCAGCTGGAATTTTTCTTTTTCTTATTGTTGAGAAGCTTGTGAGGTATGTGGAAGAACGGTCTGGAGGAGCTAATGCATGGGGTCATGGCCACCATCATCATAAACAAATTAAGAAATTGAAGGTTGATAACAATCCTGATAATGATGATCTTCAGGGTCTACCTCATAAGAAAACTGGAAGTTTGCCAGAAGACAAGGAATCTGGTGGAAGTTCAACTGATAGTCAATCTGCTAAGATACTTGATCGAGAGGACAGCAAAAATGCCGTTCTCCGGAAGGTAGAATGCTGGTCCTCAATGTTATTTACTTGTGGTATTTCTCAAAATGACCCTCTCATATGCACACTTTTAAATAACCTTGAGTCGGGCAAAGTCTCCACTTATGTGACTGAGAGTTAACTGCGAGTTAATGGATCAACCATCGACTATAGCTAAATCCACAACAACATAACATAGCCGTTCAAGTGTGAATTGCAATCATATTGTGTATAAAGCTTTACCTCCTTTGAGTATGCAGATTCTGATAATAAATTGCAACAATTTCAACAATTAGAAACCTCATGGCAAATAAAGGTTTACACAATTTTAATTGACAGATTTCTTAAGTGTCATATTAGAGCTAATGACTGGTGGACATGCTCTGCTCCGGCTTGATGATTTGGGTGATTGTGTTTCCGTGCTACTCGGACGAGTGGAGCTCAGAGGTGTGTTGCTGCTGTTCTTCCAATGTACTGTGGACTTGAACCCACAGAAAGGTTACATTTCCAACATAACTAGGGTTCCCTAGGTTTAAAAAGATTTTCTAAGGGGTCAACCCCATGATAATTTTCACATATTGAATGCTTTATTAGTCGGTCCATAAACTCTCCATCACAGAAGTTAAATTTTAGCCGCAGGGTTATTTTTAAAGCTGGCATATGAAAGGGTTATTTTGAGAAATACTCAAAACCTGACTAGAATATTTCCTTCTTTAAAGTTTAAATCATGTCAAAAAAATTCCCACTAGTGTGTGTCTCTACAATGCATCTCATATTCTAGTTCCTACCTTCTTGCAGAGAAACATTGGTGTTGAAAATGCTGAACTTGAAAATAGTGGAAATGCTTCGAAAGTCTCTGAAGATGAGGCTAAATCCACTAAAGATGAAGAGCCTGCCAAATCACCATCAAGTATGGTGTTTGGTTATCTCAACCTCGTCTCTGATGGTGTTGTAAGTATACTCTACTTTTCTCATTGTATCTTTTTTCTCATTGTAAGTATACTCTACTTTTCTCATTTCAAGATTTTCAAGATTACTAAATGGAGTAGGTACCTTTTCTCAAGCTACTGATCTAATAATGTCATTAACTGGTGTTGTAAAATTTGTTGTTGCAGCATAATTTTACTGATGGGATGGCATTAGGTAGTGCTTTCCTTCTTTATGGATCAGTTGGTGGGTGGTCTCGAACTTTGTTTCTGCTCGCACACGAGCTTCCTCAGGAGGTCATTTTTCACTCTCATTCAGATTGGTAAATAAATTGCTGAATTTGATAGATGTTGATCCTGGTCATGCCTATGCAGATAGGTGACTTTGGAATCTTAGTAAGATCCGGTTTCAGTGTTTCCAAAGCCTTGTTTTTCAACTTCTTATCTGCACTGGTCGCTCTCGCTGGAACTGCGCTGGTTTGTATATTATCTTTTGCCTGCTCTGCTCATTGTTTTAAGTGTTCCCACCTATGGTTTTTATTTCCACGCTCAAGATCCACCTAAGAAGCTACTTCTGCACCTCATAGCTTTTATTTTTGTGAACTGTTTTAGGCATTGGTGGTGGGTCAGGATCCAGGCCAATCATCGTTGATTGAGGTGGGTAATTCAAAATGTACTTCATAGTAATAGTCACACACAGATCTGGCAATCATGTCAATCCATATGGTTCTGGTTTGGATTTGTTTGGTTTGGTTTGGGTGTCATTCAGGTTCAGTTATGATTCGATTTGGGTCTAATTCAGGTTTGACTCAATTTGTTTCGGTCATGGTTCAGTTTGGTTCATCTCAGGTTTCGGTTATAGACTGAGTATTCAAATTTTGGGGTCATTTTGGGTCCGGGTTTGGATTACCCAGTTCGGATAATCGGCTCAAGCATCTGGGTCTGTTAAAAAGTGAATGATGCTTACTACCCACTCCAGATTAAATGTGAACGATGATTTATTTGGTTGCAGGGGTTCACGGCGGGCGGGTTTATTTACGTTGCAGTGGCGGGAGTGCTGGCAGAAACAAACGGGGGAGGCCGCTCATCGTCCATAAGGAGTGGGGCCATTCAACTGATTTCTCTGGCATTAGGCATGTCAGTGGCTCTTTCAATCTCTCTTATTGAGTGATGTTTTTTTTTGCTCAATGCTATCTTCACCAATGAATTTGGTGGTGGGATGTACAATATGCTTTGTAGCAAATGTTTGATTACTTTAGCTTATTATGTCTTATTAATACTCCATTTGGTAAAGAAACGTAGATATAATTATGCATTATTACTACTCATATATACGAATTATATATACAAACTTTTGAGCACAAGTGTTATAACCATTGAATGACAACAAAAAATAGGGTGAGATGACACGTGATATTAAATCGTTGTAATCCTTTTGTGAAATACTGTATTTTTGTGGAACGCAAGATTCACATTTTTGAAAAAAAAGTTCCAAATATATTGAATATAAAATAAATAAATAAACATAAACAATACATAATCCTTTTGCCTTAAAAAAATTGAGTATGTCATTTTTTTCTTTTTGAACGCTCTAAAAACAATTTTTACTTTATCTTCTTTTAAAATATGAACATGTGGCTACATGATTTTTTCTCATATAAATTTTTTTTTACTTTATTTTCTTTTGATTTTTACTTTATTTTCTTTTAATTCTCACCTTGCTTTGTAAAATTTTTGATGTATTCTTAAATGATATAATTTGAGTGGAGTAGTTTTTATTTCTATACTAATTTTTAATTGAAATAGTTTTAAAAGTAATGAGATTTTACACATTGTTCAGAAAGTGATAAACATTGTAGGACGAAGAAAGTACTATGTAATATTTCCTCTATCCCATAAAAAGATTTCACCTTTGAATTGGTATCAAGATTAAGCAAAGTAAAACTGTGTGGCTGAAATGATGCAAGAGAGAAATTACCAAGTGCCACAATTTTTTTTGAAAAAGTAGAAAGTGAAACATTTTTTGGGACGATGGGGTATATATTATACCAATAGTTGTTTGAATATGAAAGAAAAAAGTAGAAAGTGAAACAATGATCTTTGGCTCTCTGCAAGTACGAAGTACAGGCTCCACCCTCTACAACAATCTACGATAAAAAATCTAATTTATATCCTCTCAGTAAGTATCCGATCAGGTCTGAGGGGACCTTCAGGAATGGAACTCATCTTTTTTAGTTTTTTGAGAGGCACCCCTTCATGAAAAAGGGTGGGAACATTCCTTTTTCATTGGGCGGAAGTGGTGTGATTCAAAGGGATCGTGGGATTAAGTTTGGTTTATTAAAAGTAAACTAACTTGAATCACATGCATAAAATAAACAAAAACAAAAAACAAAACCACTTGGTGTTCTTTTCCACTTGAGGCCAATCTAAGTAACATGCAAGGGGTTAAAAAAAGGAGTGGTTGTTAGACCAAAACAAGCCTACCCTACACATGAAGACATGTTTTTTGTTTTGTTTATCTCAAAGACCCTACACACACACACACAAATGTGTTGATGCAAAGACAAAAGTGTGATAGCTGTATCCAGTCAATATCCTACATTACATTACATTCATTCATCACCTTAAAGGTCAAAGGAATAACATCATTGTACCTACATTAAGCAAAAGAAGACAACAATTCAACCTCATATTTATCATTATGGTCAACACTAATGTCCCTATTATTATTATTTATTCCCCACACTCATCATAATCAATGCATATCCTTCCCCTCTCCTCCTAAACACACACACATTTTAGATCAAACTCATGTGCAACTTAACTTCTCCCTCTATATTCACATCCTATGTCAGCGGGGCCCATCGCGCGACGTGCAAAAGCAAAAGCGTAACAGCTGAGACGCACTATATAGGGGTTGGGTTTCGGGCATATTTCAGTGCCGAAGGGGAGACTCGGGTTCGGACCCGGACACGGACGAGAAGCCAGTCATGTCATCCTTGGCCAATGCCACGAAGTTCAGGGGGGCGGTCGACAGCCTCCTGAAATGTCCGTTCTGCCGGCCGCCGGAGTAAGAGCGCGGCGTTGAGATCTCCGGAGTTTGATAGCCCGCGGAGTTCCTGCGCGGCGAGGGGGTGACGTTTCCATTCCCCTTCCTAAAGCTACTGCTTCTTGGGATTGGTTTTGAGCCATAGATGGCTTCCTTTTCCGCGAGGAGTAGATCCTGAGCTCTCTTTTGGTCCTGCAATGGAGATACATATATGACAAAACATTTAGGCAACGCTTGGTAAACAATAATGCAATGTAAGGCTACACGGATTGAAGCACATACTTTTTCCCTCTTGAATTTGTACGAAGCATATAAGCGAATGAATGATATTTATTTGCAGAAGAAACAACCAATATTGAACACACAATTCTTTGCTTAAAAGGAAAGAGACAGATATGTCCTAAAAAGAAAGGGAGATCTTTATTTTTTGAAGATTTTTCATTAAACATGCAAATATATGCCAATGTTTGCAAGAAATCATCTACTTCTGAAGTTCTGATGCAGTAGGGGATACGACCAATATCTTATGATCGCAGGACGTGTTTCCATAAAAAGGTCATATTAGTAAAGTACAAACATTACCCGAGCACGTCTTTTCTCTTCTTCTTTCTGTTGACGGGTCAATTTGTAATCTTCCAACACCGACACCAAACGTGCCTAAAAGAAAAGTGTGGCAGTGAGTGATCAAATCCAACTGCAAAGTTGCGGCCCGNTCAAAAAAAAAAAAAAAAAGATCCAGAAATTTGAAACATCAACTCAAACTCACCCCATCGTAAAGAAACAGCTTCTTCTTCTCATCTTCCCATGCTAGAGTCTTGGCAATCAGACTGTCAACCATACCTGAAACCAGAACAGCTCAGATACTAAAAGTAGGAACTACACCAACAAATAAAAAAAATTAAATTTTACAGTGACCCAAAACAAATAAAAAAGACCCTAATTTTGGAAGGATGGAAAAAATTGCATAAAATTACTTGGAATCTTGTTTACGGTGATTCGGGCACGTTCGGCTCGCTTTAAGTTTATGTGAGCACCTCTTCCACCACTGTAACGACTTTGATCCTGACAATATTGGCTCACAACACGGATTAGTGTGTTCAAACATTTTGCCAGAAAAGAAGATGCAAAAAAAATTGCCTTTTTAAGGACGTAGTCCTACTTGGTTATAGTCTTCAAGCCAGCTCTCTTCCTCACAAGCAGAAAGCCATCGTTCAATTCTATCCGTAACATCTTTCCGGCTCAAAGCTTCATCCTTTGCTCTATGAATCTGGGCTTCAATGTTTGCCAAAAGCTCACAAGGATCCACAAGACCTTAAATGCATCAATTGAACAAACAATGGTTTTCATTTATGAATCGCTCAAATGTCGAGATATTCTAGAACAGGGATTAGGGAATCCACTAACCGGATTCCATCATTGCACATGACTTATCAATAGCAGTGCTTGGGTCAGGCTCAATATGGCTTTTGTTGCATATCTCCTCCAACTCCGACCTCTTCTTCACCACCAACTCTTTCATCCTGCTCGCCTTTAGTTTAGTCAACCTCTCAACTTCTGATGATACCTATTACGAACAAAACAACCACGTGTATGTTCATAATCGAGTGCTTTTCCCTTTTTTTCAATAGCACATTATGCATATTGATATAAAGAAAGATGGCTTCAGATGTGTAATTTCTGCTGAGACATGACAGTAATATAAGAATTTTATCGTTGGAATGCTGTTACGGGTCCACTTGGAACTTGGGAAAGGATAGGAAAAATAAAAATTTGGTTCAAACTAAAAACGACAACAACCCAATACAATCCCGTTATACCATGTGCGAAAAGGCTGCATTTACTGCCCAAAACTTCATAGAAATTCAAAAGCAAGGCAAGTTTAATTTGTCATTTTGATATAGTTTATTATGTGCCTAAATGCTAAAACTACAACATTGTCAATAATGACTCTTTTAGCTCCATTGGCAATGGATGTAAGGTTCAAACTACAAAAATCAAATTCAGATATTTGTTAGAGCTCATTTGATTTAAAATATATTTCTATCATACAAAGACTACTACCGTACTATGCCTCATACATTTAAAATATTAAAAATTTCAAATCAAAATTTGTTTTCTTTCATATTCTTCAAGGAAAAATTAAACTGCAAGAAATGATATTCTACAACAGAAGTGCAACTCTAAAAAGGATTACATTGACATGAAATTTTTTTCAAACCTGTTGAATGATATCCAATGAAAGAGCACCTGGTTCCTTGATCTCTGTTTCGGGAGAATCAATAACAGAGGTAACCTTTAGAAAGTAAGCCTTCTCTTCTCTTGGTGTGTCCATCAAGTTCCACAGTTCAACTAGCGAGTCAGATATTTTTTTCAGCTGGCATTTGGCGATATTTAAAAATAATAATTAGCACACAGATCAGAAAAGTAACTTGGGCAATAACCAATGGGAAACATTATAGTATATACCTTCTCGTAACGTTCTTTTCTTTCTGTTTTCAGCCTCATGATCGTCTTCTCTAGGCCCTCTATCGTGCTATTGCTGATATTTGTGGACTGTTCTGCCCCTGCTTCATGTAAGCTTGGATGCACAATGCTTACTGTTTCACCAAAATCCACTCCAAGAGTAGCACACAAGGCGTGAACGTCGTTTACAAACTCTAACACTTTCTGAACCCGCTCAGACTGCATAAACGACATATATTTGCAACCGATAGTTATTTCTCTTGGGATATTAAGCACACGGTGTCATTTTCATATTACAGATGAACATGAAAACAATCCCTTTTATCGCAACTTAGGGTCTGTTTGGGACCTGGAAAATGCTGCTGGAAAAATAGGAAGAAAGAAAATGTTGGGAAATTAAGAGGCAGGCTAGAAGTGCTCAATGAAGTTATTCTAATTGTTTACAATTCCCATCATTATGTGAAGGCTAGGAAATCTGAAAGTAGGTAAAACTTTTTAAAAAGTGATCATGATTCATTTTCCTTTACTATTTCCAAGGCAAAACCAAATATGCAGCAAAACCAATTTTCCGGAATCCAAACATATCCTTCAAACTTATGAAACAAGTGTCAAGAAAACTACTTAGTTCTAAAAGACAAAGAAGTTACCATGTTGATGCATGAGAATCTCGTAGAGTACGAGAGAGAGGTGCAAATAAAAAGAATTGATATGATACCTTCTCCTTCTGAAGAGCATGAAGGGTGAATTGGTGCTCGGAGAGCCTTCTCAATGACAGGTCATTTTCATCCACACTCAAAGA